AACTTTTTGAAGATCCAAATTATTCAGATTGAAAATAGACTTTAATGAATATGAAGCATAAGCTGTTAAATAAGATCTAAAACCATCTTTTGCTTATTGATGAAGATAATAATTTTTTTCAATAAGTTTTTCAAGCTATTTATTTAAAATATATTAGATTATATATATATAATTTGCAAGTAACAAAATTTTTTTTTAAAAAAAAAAAAATGTGTGAAATAGTTGAAAAAATTTATTACCTGTGATTGAACATTGGCAATTTTATTGGCAGGAAATTGGTATTCATTTAATGGAACTTTTGCTTGCTTAAGACAATGTAAAAATCCAAGTTCACTTGGTAATAAAATAACAAGCTTTTTCCTTCACCACCAGCATGAGCTGTTCTTCCCACATGATGAATGTAATCATGGGGATCATCTGGTGGATCATATTGAATAATCCAATCTATAGCTGGAATGTCTAATCCATGAGCAGCAACATCTGTACAAAGAAGGACACCCTTGCTTTGCATTCATGAATTCAAAAAAGGTAATTGTTCATTTTGTTTGTTTTTGTTTACCCTAATAAAAATAAATAAATATTATTCAACATTTTTGTAATTATTGTAAAAAAAAACTTACCAAAACTTGTACATCAATATAATTTAACAACTCAGCATGAGAAAAAAACTAATATCTTTTTTTTCAAGTTCTTTTTAGGAAAGTAAATAACAACAAGAATCTTTTGTCACTATCATCTACATTTATATATTGGCCCATCTTTTAACAATATTTTTCTATTTTAGTCATTTGTGTAGCTGAAAATTTCATTTTTCTAAATATAATAAATATAAAAATAAGATATTTATATTGCCCTTAGTCTAATTTGTCTAAATATATATATATAATAACACACCTTTTGGAAGAATTTAATTATTTTTTTATTTCATCTTCAAAATCAACTTCTAGAATATGATCAATAATAAGAGCTTTAAGATTCTTGTATGAAACCCTTTGGTATTCTTTAATAAATTGATTAATTAAATATATGATCTTTGATAAAAATATTTATTCTAAAATAGAAAATAAATAAAATTAAAATCCTGAAGAAGATCTAATAGCCTTCCAGGTATTGAATTAATAAATTTACACTTATGAGCTTCAGATTGTCTATTTGTTCCACACAATGGAATTGTGATATAAAAAATTTCCCCACAATTTTCAAAAAGATACAACCAAAAACTAGGTGTTGTTGTTATAATTGATTAAGTTTTGACAATTAATCTGGATAATTTCATTAGAATCTAAACAGTCACAATAATAATAGCTAATTATTTGATTGGTTGGATTAATGAACATTAATAAATTATAGACATTAATATATTACCTGTCCACAAATCCAAAATCTTTAGTTTGATCATTTTCATTATTGCAACTTCAGTATAATTGGTGATGCTGATGTAGTAGTGGTATTATTAACAAAAATTAAGCCATAAAATAATGTAGAAGGGATGATTGATATTTTTATAATCACATGTGATATGTAAATAGTGGATCATTTGAAAAAAAAAATTGTGATACATTTATTTCTCTTGATGGAAGTAATTAAATTTCCAAATGGATTAGCAAATGAATTAAAATTATTAATTGAATCAATTTATCCAAGATATGATTTATTACGTAAACCAATTATCTTTGAATTTGAACAAATTAGAATTAATAATATTTTAAATGAATTACTTGGAACATTAAAATTAATATGAAATTGTGCTGATTGCAAAAAAAAATGAGAAAAGATGATGATTATCTTAATTCTTTATTGAATAAATCAATTGATGCATTAAATGAACTTTCAAATAGATTAAAAGAAAATGAAGAAAGTAAAAAATTAATTAAAGAATCATATCTCAATTTAATTCACACAAATGTTAGATTAAACAAATTTGCATTGTGCAATGGTTGCAAAGAAAAGGAAATTGGAAACTTAGAGGCTGATTGTGGAAATAAAGAAATAGCCAGGTTTCTTTATGAATGTAAAAAATAAATAGATATAGAGATAGTTATATTGAATGGATTCCTTTTAATGAATTCAAAAATATTGAATATTTGGCTAAAGGTGGTTTTGGTGAAGCTCATAAAGCAATATGGATTAACTATTATTATATATTTAATAATCAATCTGAAACAAATGTGACATTAAAAAGATTATATAACTCAAGTGATAAAATTACAGATATTTTAAAAGAGGTAAAACTTTTAGTATTAATTTTTTATAAATATTATTAATCTTGATTATAATTATAATCATTGATAATTTTTAGTTAAGAGCAAATAATGAAAATAATGAAATGAGTGGTTATATCAATAAATGCTTAGGAATCACAAAAGATCCAAGCACAAATGAATATATGTTGGTATTTGAATATGCTGAAAATGGAGATTTACATAATAATTTATCAAAGAATTTCAAGGAAATTACTTGGGAAAATAAAATCATCTCACTTTGTTGTATTTCAAATGGGCAAGTTTTAAATTTTATTATTAAATCATATTTTCTTTTTATAAAATTAACTTTATACATTTATTATTAATATTATTAAAATGAATTAGATTAAAGTATATTCATGAAAAGAATTATATTCATCATGACTTTCACAGTGGTAATATTCTTTCACATAATTGTAAGAGTAGTGAAATAGGAGATTTAGAATTATGTCAACAAATAATAAATAAAAATGAGAATCCAAATGAGATTTTTGGAGTTATTCCATACCTGGCACCTGAAGTATTATCAGGTAAACAATATACAAAAGAATCTGACATTTATAGTTTTGGAATGATTATGTGGGAATTCACCACAGGTAAAAAACCTTTTTATAATGTATCACATGATCATCATCTAATAATGGATATTCTTGGAGGAGTGA